AATGGATGGATACCACTTTTGCTTTCAGTTCTCTGCCTTCCGGCTTAGATTGTCTTCAACGAAACTTCCCTTGCAATCGAGGATCTCCGAGATGTAAGTTCTTCATACAATTCCTGTCGACAAATATCCTACTTCAGCTTTCTGGTTCTACTAGCATGAATAAGTTTGAAAATCATTGTCCTACATTTTTTGTCTATAAACCACCATGTAAGAATGGTCAATATCCATTTAGTTGAAATCATCCGTTTAAGGTAATATATTTAAGGGTGGGGATAGTACTGTTGTCTCTAAACATGATTATGCTTGCCCAAAAATCCTTGCTGTTTACCAAGAAACAAGAAAGGGGAAGGTGAAGTAGGACATGTGTTACTCTACTCTACTGCTAGTGTTCTGATATAAAGCTGTTTTACTGGTTTCTTATCTTCTCATGCATGTGAGTTTCATTATTCACAGGGTCCAGCTTTGCAATTAAATGTGGGGGACCTCCAATTACATCAAGTAATCAGATATCGTATGAGATGGAGAACCAGACTATGGGTCCAGCAACATATTTCATGACCAGTACAGGGAGGTGGGCTGTTAGTAATGTTGGTCTGCCTTCTGACAATCCAGATCAGGACTTCACAAGCTTCTCCTCATCTCAGTTTATAAACACCTTGGACTCGGAGCTCTTCCAAACTGCACGAATTTCTGCAGGATCACTTAGATACTATGGTTTGGGCCTTGAGAATGGTAATTACACTGTAAACCTCCAATTTGCTGAGTCACAAATCTTAAATCCCCCAACTTGGCGTAGTCTTGGGAGGCGTGTATTTGACGTATATGTACAGGTATGCACTATTTTCTTTTATATTTATATCTATTTTTTAGATAACCATCAGCTTGACCGGTTTACAATTGGGAGGGAAAAGAAAATATCATCACTAAGATAATCATGAGTAGTTGCTTGGTGTTTTCTCCTCAAACAGTAGGTTGCTTTCATTCTCTATTGCATGGAGCTATCAAAACACAAGATTATGATGCTCCAATGCTAATCAGGTTTTGTTTCTGACTTGGACTGCTAAACACCTAAGATTTCAGTTCTAACCATGTCCGTCTTCTCTATAGTTCTCAACAGTGTCATATTTTAAGGCTATAGAGAAACCTTTATTTGCCTTAAAGACATATTATTCATAAACAAAGCAATATTGGAATGATTTGGGTCCGAAACGAGCAACACTTTGATTTTGAGGATTCATATAGCCGACCCCAACTTTGAGGAACAGTAGATTAATTGAATGATGTGGATATATTGTCATCTACTTTTACCATCCCTCCAAAAGAAAATCTCCACTTTATTTCACTGCTTTGAGCTATTTAATACTGCTCACAACAAAAATGCATGTTTAGTAGAAAGAACTTTTCCCCCTCTTTCCTACCTTCACATCATAATTGACTTAATAATTTTATGGTTATCTTTTTCCAGGGAATTCGGGAGTTGAAAGATTTTGACATACGGAAGGAGGCTGGAGGAAGATCCCTTAGAGCTGTTCAAAAGCAATTTAAAGTTCAGGTTTCTGAAAATCATCTTGAGATACATCTCTTCTGGGCTGGAAAAGGGACCTGCTGTGTACCTAGACAAGGCACATATGGACCTTCTATATCAGCAATTAGTGCAACCCCAGGTATCCATGAAATACAGACATTTAGATTCTGAAAAGTAGGCACTCAAAAACTGTATTGAGACTCCTAAGGTTTTCTACAGATTTTATTCCCACTGTTAGCAACCAGCCTCCTACTACAAAAAAGAATCGGACCGGTCTGATTGTGGGCATTGTTGTTGGTGTTGGAGTCATAAGCTTCATTTCTGTATTTGCTGTCTATTACCTAATTCAGAAAAGAAAACGACGGCAGGCTCTTGAGGATGAAGGTAAGAAACAAAAGCTGATCTAGAATGGTTCTTCTGTTTTTTTGACTTTTAAGTGATTCATCTTTCTTTAGTTCTAACTGGAAGCTCTCTAAGACTGGATCCTACAGGAAAGTCGGTTTAGCAACACTTCCTTTCAAGATTCTTTTTTGTAAAAGTTTTCTGGACATGTTTGTGGTTCATTTCTTGTTTTTGACACTTCGGTTTAGACAAAAGTTAAGAGTAATAAGCACGAATTGAGAGCAAGAGGTAATAAGAGGAGTCAGCTCAGGCATTCCTTCAGTTTATTCAGCTTATGAAATAATGTATATGTCTAGTGAGTGAGCTCCACAAATTGATTCATTTGACTTATTTAATGACATGTTTCCCTTCAAATCCGCAGAGTTCCTGGGAATAGATGCTAGACCCTACACTTTCAGCTATTCAGAACTTCGAGCCGCAACTGCTGACTTCAATCCTTCTAATAAGCTTGGAGAGGGAGGTTTTGGACCAGTTTACAAGGTAGTCTATTCGTCCATATGAAGTCCTGAAGTAAATAGTGTTTCCTTTTTTGCTATGTTTGTTGCACCTATAGCTAGCTCACAGGTTTCTCAAATAGGCCTTATTCTTTTCAACGCCTTTCTCTTGACTGATTTCAGTACTTCCATTTGTAGATATTGTGGCCTAACATAACTTTATATTCCAAAAACACATGAAACATTGTATAAAACAGCAAATAAATTATCTGCATCTTTGCTGTCTAGAAATGTTTTGTGGCTAAATACTTGTGCATTCTTGTTTGCTTTACTTTTGTTATGAATTACGGAAAACACGAAATGATTAGTGAAATTGTCTGAACGTTGAACCAACTTTTATGGTCCATAGGGTACACTTGAGGATGGGAGGGTTGTCGCCGTTAAACAACTGTCTGTGGCATCACATCAAGGGAAGAGTCAGTTTGTGGCAGAGATTGCCACTATATCAGCTGTACAGCACCGTAATCTTGTGAAACTCTATGGTTGCTGCATCGAGGGAGATAAACGGTCACTTGTTTATGAGTATCTTGAAAACAAGAGTCTTGATCAAGCACTATTTGGTACTAATGAATACAATATCTTAGAAATTCTGACTTCCCTCATATAAGAGAAGAAGAAGCACTTTTTTAACTTTACTGATATTGAGATTTTGGCTTCAATTGGGCAGGGAGTGGATCTTTATATCTTGACTGGCCAATACGCTTCCAGATATGCTTGGGAGTGGCCAAGGGTCTGGCGTATCTTCACGAGGAATCTCGGGTCCGTGTTGTCCATCGAGATGTCAAGGCCAGTAATATTCTGCTTGATTCAGACCTAAACCCTAAAATTTCAGATTTCGGGTTGGCAAAACTTTATGATGACAAAAAGACTCATATAAACACTCGTGTTGCAGGCACAATGTAAGATCCTCAAAATTGAGGATGTGTCATATTGTTTCACTCCTTTCCTATAGTTTTGTTTCATGAGTCTAGTGAATATTTTCTTGTAGAGGGTATCTTGCACCAGAATATGCCATGCGCGGACATCTGACAGAGAAGGCTGATGTGTTTGGCTTCGGAGTTGTAGCTCTAGAGATTGTCAGCGGTAGACCTAACTCTGACTCGAGCTTGGAAGAAGAGAGGATCTACCTTCTTGAGTGGGTAAAGTCCCTTCCTTCTTTGCTTGTAGTGAGGCATTAGACCAATGAAACATATGCATTTATCCTTGCTTGTCGCGCTAGATGGAAAGAAAGGAAGATTAACCACTTAGATTAACCAAACGGAAGAATTTATCCTCTTCATTCATACTTCTTTTTCTCTATTATTTCTTAAAAGTTTGACTTATCGCATTGTCCTGGGATTCCTATACGCACCATTTAGTTCTAACCATACTTATCACTGACTCCTGTGTACACTGCTGTGCTTCTAGGCTTGGCAGCTTCATGAGAACAACCGCGAAACTGAAATAGTTGATGCAAATTTATCTGAATTTGATGAAAACGAAGTGAGAAAAGTAATAGGGATAGCCCTACTATGCACTCAAACATCCCCAGCACTACGACCCTCAATGTCCCGTGTAATTGCAATGCTTACAGGAGACGCTGAGGTTGCGACTGTTACTTCCAGACCTGGATACTTGACTGACTGGAAGTTTACAGATACGACGACCTTCATGAGTGATCATTCTTCGCGAATGCCCAATTCATCAGTGAGTACAAGTACGGCTGCTGATACAAATTATTCGCCATTAGCTGCTGACAGACCGATGCTCCATGACATCATCGGAGATGGTAGATGAATTTTTTTGTTTCTCAGTCAGAGATCCATGAATAATCTATTTTTGTCCCTTATATTTTCTTTCTGCATGTATATTACATGAACTGTTTGTGTAGAGATTTTCGTCCAAGTAAGGAATACTAACTCTATCATTTGAAAGGGGAATAATTCTTCAAGGACTCAAAAACTGTTATGACTAAACAGGAGGGAAGAGGGCAAGGTGATGGTGGTGTTGAGAAATGCATATGCCACCAAAAGCCAAATATTAGTACCGGCATCCGATGGATAAAAAAACAGAGTAGCTTCTTGCAAAAAAGTAAACCAGTGAGAGTGAAAGGAGTTGCAGGGACATTCTAAAAACTACACTTGCAGTGTTCCATAGACCGGAACTGCAAACAACAACAACACTAGCATTGTAGTCACACAAGTGGAGTCTGGGGAGGGTAGAGCGTAAGCAGACCTTACCCCCGCCTTTAAAAAGGCAACCCGGAACTGCAAGTTGGCAGAAACAATCAAGCAGAGGGAAATAGAAAGTACTACTAATACACAGTTCTACAGTTGTATTTATCCACTATTAACACCCCGAAAATGTTAAAAAAATTTATTGCCAAATAAGATTCTGTTAACTGGAATCATACAAAAAGAATACCCCAAATAACCAAAAAGCAGAACAGTATATTCTGCAACTTCCGTTTACCTCCCATTAATCAATTTTCTTCAACTACTACATGATTAGAAGCCAAAAGCTTCAGACTTTTCAGTTTACAACTTGGCAAGAAAGAAGGGTACAAATGTTGTAGAGCATAAAAGAGAAGATGCAGTCAATGTGGTATCCTGTGAATTTCAATCACACAAAATGAGCCTAGTTAGGGCGAGTACGAGGCAAGAAACAGAGAAGAAAAATAGAGACACAAAGTCTCTAGCAGACCATTTTTTAACAACCTTAGTTTCAACCCTCAAACTCTTAGCCCTCCTAAGAGCATCAACCTCTTTCAACAAATCAAACTCCACCCCTTTTCTCTTCAATTCCTCCACACACCTAGCCAATAGTTTCCCGTCCTCTTTCTCTCTCTCCAACAGTTTCTCTAAGTGACTCTCCGTATCCGTCTTGTACCTAACGGCCCAAATGATACCCAGAGAACAGAGCAGAGAACACAGAGATGGGATCCAAGAACGGTGGCAGAGCCCAGTTTTAGAAGCCCATTTCGAGGAGGCACTAAATAAAAGCATAAGTGAAATGGAGTGGAAGAGAAAAAAGATGCAGTAGAGCTGGGTGATTTCGTTGCGAACCGAATCGATTTGGGTTTCTTTGGCGGCGATTCTATTGAGGATGAGTTCTTCTTCTTTAAGCCATTGCTTGAGAAGCAACTTGTGAGTTGGGGTTTCTGCTATTTGGTGAAGTGGGTGTAAAGGCTTCGATTCCATTATTGAAGTGTTGTTGCTGTTCTGATCGGCCATTGAGATTGATGACAAGTTGCTTTTGGGTCAGGGGAGAAAGAAAAAGGGTGGAGAGCGGAAAAACAATTAAGGCGAGCCTCCTTTTTAACGGTCCTCTCGGATTTGAAATATTGTAACGGTCGACTTTGTCAAATGACTGTATTTCTAGATCTACGGCTCCTAGCTGGATCCCGATTCGTTCGATTTGGAAAGAATATTTTATATATGTATCTGTTTTCTTTTCTGGAGAAAATGGGATCCTAGAATTATTTTTATAAAGCTACTTACTATAGTTTATTTTTGAGTTAATACCTCAAAAATCCTCTAAACTATACCCATTTTGTGAGTTTCATACTCAAATCATGGGGATTCTAATTACCCTCTAAACTACAATGTACCCATTGTAAAATACCCTCTGGAGTGCCATGTGTCAAAAAAAGTAGTTTAAATCTACGGCTAAAAGGCGCGTGAGAGCTTAAAATTTTCTCCACGAATGTCCAATAGCTAATTAGTACAGACAAATAATTTTTCCTGATAGTTTGTTTAAATAAATTCTTTATTTCTATATCTCTTTTCTCTCCTCTCCTTTCTTCTTCTTCTTCTTCTTCTTTTCTTCTTCTTCTTCTTCTTCTTCTTCTTCTTCATTTTTTTCTTTTTTTGGACGAATTCATCTGTCTTCTTCATTTTCCTTCTTTAACCCAAACTCAACTGAGTTTTAAAAATTATAAATTTCATCTTAAGTTTCTTCATCCATTTCTTCTTTACTCTTCTTCTTCCATTTTCCTAATTGTAGTAAGAACACCTTCTTCAATACCTTTTTTCTTAATTTGATTTCTTCTTCTTTGAAAACCCATCAATTTTTTGGGGATGGAAATGAAACCTTAATTTGGGATGAGAAGGTATAAAAGAAATTTGACAATCATTCAATAGAAAAGCTCTAAATTTTGGAAGAAAATCCCGAACACTTGAAAATTTCTAAATATGTAAGAATCCGTAGTATCTCATCCCATATCAGTATGTTTGCAACACACACACACAAAAAAAAATGAAAAATATTAAATAACCCTATGAAATTAATCCTTCAAGCGAACTTGAGATCCAAGGACAATCATTTATATTGTGCATAGTTAGGCTTTGTTTAATTAGTTTTTTTAAATAATGGAACTAAATTCTGTTAATAGAAATAAATTCTATTATGTAGTATCTCATATTCCTTCCAGGATATTTTATTAAGGGGTTCATTGTAGTTCAGGGGTAATGGAAACCTCCCATAATTTAAGTACGAAACTTGCAAAATTAGTATAGTTTAGGGAGTTTTGAGGTATTAACTCTTTATTTTTCCATTCTTTTCTTTTCTCTTGAGGTTTGGAAGGCTACACTAAAGAAATAGCACGTGCAACTTTCCATAGAAGTTCAAGATGCTTAAGCTAGTTTATTAGAGACATACTAACTTAACATTCAATGTTTACACTAAATTGCAGTTATTTAATATAATTAAGTGATAAATTAATATGTTGTTATTTATTAATGTAATGATTCAACCGTCGTTTGAGTTCTAGCATTTGTTCTATGATTGGAGACTTTCCATAGCTTCAGTTGGTGATTTATGACTTGCCGGTATGGTTGGTTCAGATCCTGAGAGTTTCGGGAAGTATTTTGATTAATGTCACGATCCAAAATTCTCAACCGGTCGTAATGGCGCCTAACTCACTTTCTAGGCAAGTGAACCATAACAATAGCGAAACATGGATACTAAATTAATAGAAATAGTACAAGTCTAAAACCAATAACATAAAATAACTGCGTTGAAATACAATAATCCCCCAGAACTAGTAAATATAGTGTCATGAGCTCTAAACTGAAGTACAAGTCTAGAATACAAATAGCAATAATGTCTGAATGTAAATAACAATGCTAAAGGAAAAGAGATGCCAAGAATACGGTCGAGATGCAGCTCTACCTCGTCTCTCCAAAGTTAAACTCAACAACAACCCTCAGCTACTGGTGACTCGGTCTAACACCTTAATTTTCACAATTAAATGCAGAGTATAGTATGAGTACAAGCGACCCCATGTACTCAGCAAGTATCATAACTAACCTCGGCAAGGTAATAGAAGCAGGAATTATTAATAATACTCGCTATTCACCTGAACAATTCATAAATCTAACAAGTATAGAACAATAATATGATCAATCCAGGAACCACAGATAAAACCAACTTAGTGCACACATTAACTTAACATACCCTGCTTAGTCAACAATCTAGCATATAAAGAAGATATGCAAATAAAACAGGTAAATAACCAAGAAAATTATAAGTAAGGAAGAAATGCAATAACCAAATCAAACACTTGCCAGTCTATTCTCCTAAACATGATAACCGAACCAAACTACTAATCAGCTTTTCCCATACCGAGTGTACACCATCAAGAGAGAAACATGATAGGGTGACCCTAGGGGGATGGATCCTTATCCACATACTACACGGCATAATCACGTGCCATAAATATCAACCACACAGCATAGTCAAGTGCCAATAATCACTATCGTACGGCGTAGTCACATGCCAATTGTAACGATTCAACCGGTCATTTTGAGAGTATTTGCCCCGAACCTCTATTTATTGCTCCCTATATTTTATTTTGTGATTACGTGACTTGTCGAGAGGATTTATTTTTGGTTTCGGACTGAAATGGGACACATAGTCCTTAAATTTGGAGTTTAAATTCTAGGAATTGACCATAGTTTGATCTATATAAAGACGACCTCGGAATAGAGTTTCGGTGGTTCCAGTATCTTCGTAGGGTGATTTTGGTCTTAGGAGCGTGCTCGGATGTTGAATTGGAGATCCGTAGGTCATTTTAGTGTCAATTGGCGAAAGTTGAATAATTGAATAATTTTTGGGAAGTTTGATCGGGAGTGGACTTTTTGATATCGGGAGCAGATTTTAATTTCGGAAGTTGGAATAGTTCCGTAATATCAATTATGACTTGTGCACAAAATTTGAGGTCAATCGGACTTGATTTGGTAGGTTTCCACGTCGAATGTAGAAGTTTTATATTTTAAAGTTCATTAGGCTTGAATCGATGCGCGGTTTGTATTTTTAGCGTGGTTTGATGTGATTAAGAGGCTCGACTAAGTCTGTATGATGTTTTGAGACTTGTTGGTATATTCAGGCGGGGTCCCGGAGGCCCCGGGTGTGATTCAGAATGAATCCGGAAAAAATTTGGACTTGTGAGAATGGCTGAAGTGCACCAGTTCTGGTGCAATCGCACCAGCGCAAGATTGACCACAGGTGTGAGCTCGCAGAAGCGATCAATTAAGTGTTGATGCGGGACTGGAGGAAGTGGCATGTGGTTGCAGGTGCGACATGAAGGATGCAGAAGCGGAGTCACTTCTGCGGAAGAATGAGCGCAGAAACGGAAAGGCCAGGGAGGCATGTTGATTGCCGATGCGGACGAGGTCCGCAGGAGCGTGTGTGCAGAAGCGCTCTTTGGCTACAGGAGCGAAAGCGCAGAGGCGCATTTGGATCCGTAGAAGGGGACGTGCCTGGACTAAGTTAGAACTGCACATGCGATGGAAATTCCGCAAGTGCGGAGCCGCAGATGCGACTGTGAGTTCGCAGGTGAGACTTCGCTGGGCAGAAAAGGGCCAATTCCGAGGGTTTAATTTCATTCTCCATTTTTTAAACTAGAGAGCTCAGATTGAGGCAAAATTTCGAGGGTTTTTCAGAGAAAATATTTGGATAAGGATTTTTGATTTATTTTCACTAAGATATCATTTATTCTTCATTTAATTAAGGATTTGGGTTGAGAAATTTATGAAAAAGGTGGAAAAATCCTTATGCCGAATTTTGAGGTTTCGATCGAGAATTTTGGATTGTATTTGAGTAATTTTGGTATGGGTGAACTCGATATCGAATGAGTGTTTGTATATTGTGACTTTTACCCGATTTCGAGACGTGGACTTGCGTCGACTTTTTGGGGCGATTTTTCTATTCTTTGTTAAAGTCATAGATTTATTATTTAAATTAGTTTCTTGTAGTTGTATTTATAGTATGAAATTGCTTTTGGCTAGATTTGGGCCGTTCAGAGTCGGAAAGTCGAGGTAAAGGCATTTTTATCGACTGATTGAGCGAGATTTGAGGTAAGTAATTTATGTAACCTTGTGTGGGGAAAATCACCTTAGGATTTGGTACTATTGTAAAAAAATTATGATATGTGAGTTCCGTGTACGCGAGGTGACAAGTGCGTACATGGACTAAATATGGAAATTCCAGTTCTTGCTGAGTAGTCTTCTTTTAATTCCTTAACTGAGTTGCCTTATGATGTTTGGCTATAATTCCATATTTTTAGTGCATTAATAACTTTACATTTAGGTAATTTAATGCTAAACTATACTATATGTGTGCTTAATTGAGTTTATTTTATGTGTAAGTACATTGGAGATAAAATTGAAGCAAAGTAAATATTTAAAGTGTAATTCATGCACTAAACAATGGGCTTATGATTATATAATGATAAGGTAGTGATTGATGACAAAGAAAGAACAAATGAGGAAGAAGAAAGAACAAATGAGGACAAAGGAAGACAAAAGAAGTTAAGGCAAAGAATTGAAAAAAAGGTAAAGAATGAGAAACGAAGCAAAGAAGCAGCAGGCATAGCGAGCTACTTTGCTCGCGTAAGAGCAGGCGACGCGAGAGATTTTGCTGGCGACAGAGCTCGCGATGCGAGGTCTACAACGAGGTGTTCGCGGGTTTCGGGTTTTTAAAGCCTATTTTGTCTCCTATTTGGTTTTGGACTTGGTTATTTCACCTAGACTTTTATCCTACACATATAAATAATCCTTAAACACAATTTTTAGGAGAGAGACGTTTTAAGAGCATATTCGACCTAAGTGGATGTTTTTAGAGGGAATTTTAACCTACTGGGGATTCGACCTAAGGAGGCAAGAACACACTAGGAGCAAGGCGGAGAATTCTTCTACTAGTTTTTCACTTCCGTCTTTCTATTTCCATTATTGGTTATGATTCTAGTATTGTAGTTTTGCATACTAGTATGAATAGCTAATTTGTTATCTAGAGTTTTGATAGAACCTTTTGTAGGATAACTTCTTGTTATGTTTTTATATAATTGAGCCATTGGATTTCTCTACTTGTTCAACTACATATTTATTGTTATTGGTTGAATGTCCATCAATTGACCGTGCCTATTTAGTATGTATTGCTTGGAAAAA